AAGTTAATGTTCCCTATCATCAAATCAATGACAAATGTTTATCTGTAAAACCATTCTCAGTTCCTTGGCCTTACAAAACAGTCTGGCTATTCACATTCACTCTGCCATGCCTTGCTCTAAGTACTAAAGTTAATTGAGAAATGAATTAAAACACTAATACCACAAATCTCTTAATATCTAAGAGTCAGCTTCTAAGCAACTGCAATTCATTTGCATATTAAAATCTTTAAATTTCTTAACATAAAGTGCTTACCCTTTAACAATCTACAAAGCAACCTATTCTTCCTTGACACTTAGCTATAGGCTACTTATAAACAAAGAAAACTAAATGCAGGAGAGAAATTTAATCCTCTCAGAAATCTTAGAATCTAAGAATCCAAGTTTTATAGGAATTAAAATGAGATAAAACTATATTCTTATAAAAAATTAGGAAAAAAGAAAATAATCAGGATTAAATACCAAGAGGAAGAAATTTGAGGTTTCTCTAATAAAAGTGGAGGGGAGGGGACTGCTAATCCACTAAAATTTAATGAAAATGTATCTTGAACACGTTGGGCAAATATTAATTTGAAGTAAATGTTTAAGTTTTTAATTTACCCTGAATTATTACTCTGAATAATGTCCACATCCAATTCTAACCATTAAACAATATAACTTTGAAGTGATAAATGCGTTTGCAACAGTTAAGAATACCTCACTATCTTTTTCAAATTCTCTCTATTCAATAACTCAGCCTCATCAACAAGGGCCCTAGACTAGAAAAACATTACCTTTGTGGTAGAAAGATGTGCCTGACTCCCGCATTGCCAAATTAAAGGAAACAGTCATTCCTTGCTGCTAATAATAAATGAAGATATTAAACATTAGTGTTGAATGATATTAAATATCTAAAACATTTTCTTATGATAAAGTTAACAACTTTCGTTTTCCAATAACCATTTTATTAGATTATGGAAAATCTAAAACCTAACTAAACAAGATACATAAACCTTATGGCACGGTAGGGCAGGGGTGGGGGTGAGATACTGACAAATACAAGCATTAATATTAAAAAATAACTTTACTACACTTTTTTCAGGAGAGTCTAACACAATTTACAAGAACAGTAATTTTTTAGTATAACATTTCTGGGAGAAAGATAAAGACCCACTGATTTTTATACCTCAAAAGTTTGGATTTCTCAATAAATAAAAAAACAAGTGTTGGCAAGGATGCAGAGAAAAGGGAACCTTCATACATTGTTGGTGGGATTGCAAATTGGTACAGCGGCTATGGAAAATAGTCTGGAGGTTTCTCAAAAAATTAAAAATGGATATAACTTTTTGACCCAGCAATTGCACTTCTGGGTATTTATCCAAAGAAAAACAAAACAATAATTTGTAAAGATCTATGCACTCCAATATTCACAGCAGCACAATTTACAATAGCCAAAATATGGAAGCAACCTAAGTGCCCATCAACAGACGATTGGATAAAGAAATTATGGTTCATATATGCAATGGAATATTACTCAGCCATTAAAAAAAATGAAATCCTACCATTTGCAACAACACGGATGGACCTAGAGGTGATTATGCTGAGTGAAATAAGTCAGACAGAGAAAGATAAATACCATATGATTTCACTTATATGCGGAATCTAAGGAACAAAAAGAACAAACTAATCAAAAACAAACTCACAAATATAGTGGAAAATTTGGTGACAGACATAGGGGAGGGGGGTTGGGGTGCTGGGAGAATGGGGTGAAAGGTAAAAGAAGTAGAAATTAGTAACTGATAGTTGGTCACGGGGATGGGGAGCACAGGAGAGGGAATGCAGTTAGCATTAATATGATGGCTAGGTGGAGGGCCAGGGGAGGGGGGAGCAATTGGGGTATTGTTTTATGAACTATATAGATGTCTAACCAATGTACTGTATACTTGAAACTAATTGAAATAAATAAACTTAAAAAAAAGTTTGGATATCTGATCTTAGCACTTTAAGCTATATTACAAAATCATCCTGATTTGGCAAGTCTCCTTTGGCCTAGTAATTTGAGTAATACAGCAATGAAAGATCTTAAAATTTTCAAAAATGAGGAAATAATCTAAGAGGTATAAGCAACTTATAGTGTGAACGTTGAAAAGAACTCTGGTTACTCGTTTACTTTTAATAACCCTCAACATATTTAAAAATAAACTACGGTCTACTGCCATGCTACCCTGAACAAGCCCAATCCCATCTGATCTCAGAAGCTAAGCAGGGTCAGGCCTGATTAGTGCTTGGATGGGAGACCACCTAGAAAGATCAAGTGCTTTAGGTGTAAAAAATTAAAAAAAAAAAAAAAGGGATTGTAAACTGATAAGGTCTTTACAGTTTGTGAGATCAATCGAGGGTTGCCTCATCTAATAAATAAATAAATAGATAGATAGAGAGAGAGAGAGAGAGATAAATAAAATGAAATAAACTACAGTAGTGTCTAGCAAAGAGTAGAGAGTAGGCAGAAGCAAGCATGTGTTTTGGGAAAGCTCCTTAGGTTTTTCTCAAAACTACAGATGTAATTCAGAACCAATTCTCTACATATCTAACAGCCAAATTAAAAATAAAAAATTGATTCTATATGTCACAACTATATGCCACACAACTATATGTCAGTGTTGGTACAAAATTCCTTATCATTCCCAATTTTCATACCCTTTGGTTCCAAAGGGGATACAATTAGAATTTGCAACATTTTTTTAAATCACATTAAAGTTGGAAGCCACAGAATTTTACAGTTTAACAGCATCTTAGAGATCAGCTAGCCTGAACCTTTTGATTCTTCAAATAAAAAGAATGGCACTCAAAAAATATGCCTAAGATCACAAACAAAGGTGGGACTTCGAATCTAACAACTTGATTTTTAACTTCAGTGTCCTATTAACCAGACCAAGCTGCAGATTCTTCAGGCCACTTGAAATCAGAAGTATATATGCATGAGATCTATTTTAAAAATTTCCATTTCACCAACTACTTAGTATGAAGAACCTTATTTTATTTCAAAACCTAGAAGTTTTTCAAAAAGTAAACATTTATTTTTATATTATAGTAAATATTACAGAAGTTGAGTTTTGATAATAAAGTAAATACCCATCATATACCATTTCTAATTATTGCTACTTTCTTCTCAATATCTTAAGAAGTTAAATAAGATAGTCAAACTTCTAATGTTAAATTATTTTCTTCTACTTAACTACTAACATTGCAATAAGAATCCTAATATAGTGTGAAAGCTTAAGGTTGGGAATAAAAACATCTGGGTTTGGGTTTCTGCCTCAATTCTACACTATTCTTCTAGCTTACCAACAAATATTAACCTCTCTGGTTCCATTTCTCATCTCCTGATTAGGGACCATCATAATAACTGTAACTACTTATTGTACAAACCCAGTACCAGGAATCTTAGCTATACTGTTTCTAATTCTTACATTAGAAAGATAAGCATTATTTGTGTATTTTAATATGTAAGATTTGAGGCTCAGAGAGATTAAGTTTGCCAAGAAACTGAGCTAGTTAATGGCTAAGCAGAATTTAAACCCAGTTCTGCCTGATCCCGGCCTTGAGCCCACAGTCCTTGCAATACATCACTTTATTCCTATGTGTGATCCTAGGGTGATTGGGAGAAAAAGAAGTACCACATTCCAAGAACTATTAAGGAGACAGAAACAAATTCATGCTGGAAAACATACTGTTACACTTTCTCTAGTTATTAAACTGAAAATGAATTTTTAGTGAGAGATTTAAAAACTGTGCTACAGATACTCTTATCACTGTTATACAGAAGTGAACACTGTACAATTAAATATATATTGATTTCACTTTTAGAGGTAACATTGTAAATTAAACTGGAAAATAAGTATCTTTATGCCTAGTCCAGTAGTTGAAATAAAATTACTCTGAAAGCCTCATTAAATCACATGCATAAATTTAAAAGTATTTAATAAGACTAGAGGAGAAAATGATATACCTGATACAATAGAAGAAATCAAGAGATCTTGGTGCCAGATACTGCCCTTTCAAACAGATAAAAATACCCTCAGATACTCAAGAGGATGAGCTGATGTCTAATACTGGACATCTATATGAAGTATTTACATTCTAGTATCAACCTATCTTCACCAATGCAAATGATGAATATACTATGTTTGCTGCTTTGACAAAGGTCAAGAGGCTTTCCCACATTTCTCTATCATGTCTTATATCAATAAAATATTCAGTAGACAGTGTACAACTTATCCTCTGTTTGTGATCACTGACTCTTTTTTTAAAGTTTAAAACCTGGTGGGGGGTGAGGGGGCGACTAGGGCGAATGTAGGGTATGGTTATTTATAAACAGCCTAAAAGCAAAACCGGAACTGAAGTTTCAGGTTACCTTTTACCTACATCATGCCCTACAACTGAAAGCATCAATTAGTTCAAAATAAAAGATACTGTGCACACTTCGGTCATTTGTCCTAATATGTTACCTGGTAACATATGACAACTTCTTTAACATAAAAAACACCAATACCTCTATGACTCTGGTCCTTTCCCTCAAATGGCAAGGTGTTAATCTGTGTCCTAGGATAATCCCCACAGGTACTGACACTCTGACCACGTCAATTCCCCCGCAGTAATATCTAGACATAACTTCTTATTTTCCACTTCTTTTCTCTCTCTGCCCTCATCCCTTTTTTAACCTCCGCTGGAGGTAAAAATCCTCACCGAGCCACACAAACCTCCCATTAAAGGGGCGTTCTTTCTTTGATCCACCCTCTGCATTAAACATTCATTCTATCCCTAACCGTGTAAATCGCGAGAGGAAGCTCGAACAAAACTGCAAAATCAGAAAATCTGACGAAAGAAACTGAAGAAGAGAGGGCAGGTGTGGGGGAGGTGAGGCCCGTGGGTCAACTTCCAGAGACCTGAGGAAGGAGAGGGGCAGGCCGTAAGGACCCCACTCCCAAGCAGCGACAGCTCCCACTGCCGCTGCCTCCCCTCACCTCGATCTCGCGGATGTTGTTGGAGGTGACAAAGATGCCGATGCCAATGGGGATGAAGATGAGGCCGATGATGAAGAATGTAGGTAGCACCGTGCCAGCCGTAAGGATGGGCTGCCATGCCGGCAGCCGTTGCTGTTTGAAGGCCGTGTTATCCGGTCTCCGGTTCTTAGCGGTGCCCCCAGGAGCACACGGGGGCCCACCGTCCACTTCATCCTTTGCGTTATAGTTCATCGCCATTGAACCCCCGGGCGCAGCTCCCCGACGCGCTGGCGGACCGCCCAGGGGACCCGCCTGCTGACCCTGACAGAAGACGCGCAGGCGCCGCTGCCGCCTCCACCTCCAAAGTCAAGGCGGAAGAGGTGGGACACCCTTCCGCAGACGGCCGCTGACCGGAAGCTGGAGTCGGCTGGGCACGCAAGAGGGAGGGGGAGAGGAAGGAGGAAGAAGACTGAGGGACAAGGGGAGGGGAAAAGGGAGGAGGGTAGAAGGGGGAGGGAAAAGGCGGACGCACCCTAATCATCTGCCCTGTGACGACAAAGTGAGGGCCTCAGCCCCAGAGCGTGAAGCTACGATAGCGCATGCGCAGCCCTGGGAGCCGGGGCGAAAAGGCCGAGGCGCTTGCGCCACAGGCGCTTCTTCGCGCCACTTGCCAAAGGTTCTGTTTGCACATAACCGGCCTGCTGCTCTGGTCATCATGGCGACGGCCGTTCCAGGTTGCTGGTCCGACTCGCCTGGCCTGGACCACCTGGTCAGCCCTGGAGCTGCTGACAAGTCTAGTGGCTTCGGCCCCAGGCAGTTTTTTGTTTTACCTCAAAGCCCTATCTGAAAGAAATCGGAACGTTTAAAAGACTACACCAAGGATGCTTGAATTGCTATGATTGGAGTATTTGCTTGGGTTATTAAACCCCAAGTTTCTCTAATTAAAATAAATCTTCATTCAAGGTGCAAATACAAACATTAAGTGAGATGAATAATGGGTGACCAGTTTGTCCTAAAGTCATGAATAAATCATGTGACTTGGTTAACCCTATTTTGTCTCTACTTGAGTTATCACTTGTTTCTAGCATAAACGGTCTTCGTGTTACTTTTTACCTTTCTGTGTCCACGTTTCTCTTGCGCAGATTTAATAAGTTTTTTGTAATAAGCTGTAGCTCTTTGTTTTACAGTTAATAATTTTAAAAATGGCATTACTATAAAATGAGATACTGTGCACTTTCAAACTGCTGAGTATTTAATGACCAAAGGAAATATTCATGATCTAAAAAGTGACTAAGTCTTGAAACTAAGGTAGTATGGGTACGTATGTAGTATAATGCCCACCCGAAAAGTTAGTAATCTCCGTTGAGCGGATGGAGGATTTCTCTCTACTTTGCACTTTTTCTGTATTTTCCAAAGTTTCTGCAATAAGCATATATTTGTAAAATTCATTTTAAAATTATGTACAAACCACATTAAACTGGCATCTTTGAAATCCATACTAGAGAGTAAGTCGCATCATCTGAAAACAAATTACCCTGACTTTATGATGTTTAGGGCTTTGTAGTCATACCTTTTGCAAGATAATCCAAGAAAAGAGAAACGAAAAGAGTGCTTAGGCCTCATAATTTACAATTAAATGTATTTTCAAAATGACTACAAGTCTCGAGATGTGAGCCAATCGAATATTTACCTGGTAGATAACTAATTTGCTTAGTTTTACTCTTGTGCGACATTCATTATCAAATTCTTAGCACTGATAACATAAGTAGGTCTGTATTTTGTTTTCATCTATGTAAGTTTACATTCAACATCAGGCTCAAATGAAAAATATTCATCGATCACAATTAATGGAGAAGGCATGGGCTCCTTTTATTTAAATTCTTTTGGTTAGTAAAAATGTACATAACAATATTGGGCATAATGCAAAAGTATAAAGCATAAAGCAAGTTTTTCTCCTCATTTCTGCCTGTATTATCACACCCACTAAATGTGATAGTTCCATAAGTGATTTGCTATTCCAGCATTCTGTGTTAATATGGTTAATTATTTTGCCTTTGGTTTTTTTTTTTTCTTTTTTTAGTGATCTGAGTGATCATGATGTATTTATCTGCTTCTTTTTTCTGTTGTTTGTTCATAGGAAAGATTTAACCCCATGTCTTTTTTCTTCTTAGAAATTCCATTTTGACAAATAGAATTTTAAACTGAAAGCTTTCTTAGATTCTTGTCTAAAACTTACGTTTTCAGATGAGGGTCCAAATGGATGAAATGACTTTTCAAGATCTCTTGATGATATCCCTCCAATTCCTTTCCCTCACTGTACTCTGCCATCACAGCATGCTGGTTTACCTGGCTAACATTTTTTTCACCTCTATGTCATTAGCTCAATGGACTCAGAATTTTATGATTTCATTAGTCATACATTGTTTTATGATCGGTAGATTTTTATTTCAACTGATGAAGTAGGAATCTTTTTTTAAATGGTCTGCATTTCTGGGGCAACAAAAGAGTGGTTGTTCTCACAATGGATTACCACTGTATGCATTTTAAACTGTGGTTGCTAGGAGTGACTGTGTGTGTGTGTGTGTGTGTGTGTGTGTGTGTGTGTGTGTGTGTGTGTTGATGACACATTTAGATAAAATTTGTATTGTTTGAACAATTGTTTTCTGATTCAGGGTTAAAAAGAAAAATTGATGTGGCTATATGACATTGATTAATGCTGACAACCAGGTCAACATAGTAAGTGCAATGAATGCCCGAGCCCAAATATGAAAATGCATCCAAAATCATAGAGCAGATCCAAATCCAACGATCTGAAAAGGTATATGTAAATAACTTATGGATGGGAAGCTTTATGATAAATTTTTACTTTTTAGTTCAATTGCTATATTCAAGCTACTGAACTAGGTAACCAGAAACATTGAGGGGAAAAAAAATGTTTAATAACTTAAAGAATAAAGAGGAAACTGAAACTGCTCTTTTTACTGTTTGGTCAAAATGCCACATATATTTGCTTATTAGACTCCTTCGAGTATTGGGTGCTGCTTTAGTTCTCTGGCTTCTAACCATATTCAGACCATTTCATTCACGTGTAGCTTAACAATGTTTAGAAAATTGAAGAGAGCTGAGAAATGTGCCATAGTTTTTACCAGCATGAATTTCAGAAAAGATTCTTAAGGACTGAAAATAGTTTGAATTGTTTTCAGGGACAGAATAATAAATATTTTTGCATGTTTATTTTTGGAGGAAAAAAAATGTTTTCTGTTCATTTGATCTTGGCTGCTTACTTTAGAGAACCTTGATGGAACTAAATAATATTCATTTTTAATTGGGAGGATTTTTAGGAAAAGAGTGATATAAAATTTGTATAATTAATTTTTTGTATTTATTCCATCAGAGATTGATTCAAACTGATATTGAAAAAGTACCTCTTTTAAAGTTGCCTCTTTCCTGATTTTTATGTGATATATATATTACACTTTTCCAGTTAAGCATTTAAGAAAATCCTTTTCTCTTGACACTAAGAGGTTGTCTGATTAGCCTGAGGTCATTGGTGCTGTGATAAAATATTTTGCAAGTGTGTGAATGACCACAGTCAGTAATCAGAAATACAAGACAAACATGATATTTAAATGGTTAGTCTCATTAGTGAAAAGAGCAATGACACCAAAATTCCTTAGTAGACAGCCTAAGAACTTCGTTTTGGGAAGGAAATAATGTTTTCTTTCTCATAATTCCACCCTTTCTTTATATGAAATGATGTAATTCTAATGAGACCTCAGACTTCGTGATTTCTAGAATCTCTCAGTTGATTATACTTCATGGTATATATTTTTCCAATAGGTGCCATAAATTATAGATAAAGTTTTACATTCAGATATGATGTTGCCATCTCTTGGTTGAAAGGCAAGTGACATGTTAAATGTATAGTAGTGTGATTATTTTTAAAAGGAGAGAGACACAAGAGGGAAGATACTTTCCTTACTCCATGAGAAATCATCAAGAGATACAGGAAAATAGATCTTTAAAAATGTTAATCCCTTGTAATCATATCTTTGAACTATTATTAGACATACTTTTAACTTGCATTTTTCTACTTTTCCAAGTGTTAAATTATTGGAAGTCAGGGCAGTAGGGAGGTAATATTTCCTCATTATTTGTTTTTGAAACATGGTCACTACCACCTATGAAGTCACTCATCTATTTCTTCAAAATAACTCCAACATATTCTTGAAGGATGATTTTACAAAATGGACATAAATGTAAAAGTCAACTTTTATTGAGTGTACAAAGTGAAACAATTTCTTGGTCAATGGAACTAAATACTTTTGACAATAAATACCAAGACCTCATAGGACTTCCCTCTGACCAGCACACTGTGAGAGACAAGTAGAGGGATTCAAAAACTATTCTACAGCATCGTTTTTATTGTCACTGAATCTTCTGGGAAGAGCAATCTGCACATGATGTCCTTGATTCCTAAACCCAGTCACTGAGCAAGCCACTGCTTTCTGACTTCAGACCCCACCTCCACTGAAACTGCCTTAAAAGGTAATTCCTACTCACCCTTCAAGATTCAAGTTAGTAACCAATTTGAAAAATCTTTCTTTGTCTTCCAGGGCTGAGCAGCTAAGAACAGCTCTCTGAGTTCAAGGCAACTTATACATACCTCTATTCTTGCTCTTAACCATAGTACTGAAAAATTTGTGTTTATATTTGTTTTTCCTACTAGATAGTTTCTCAAGGTCAGAGACTGTTTTTATTATTTTCTATATCTTCAACTCCTGACAAAGTGCCTTGGACATTAAAGATACTAAATAAATCTTGTTGAACCAACCTGACCTACTGTCAATGAACTCACATTTTAGTGAGAGAGACAACTTGGCAACAAACAATTGAAATATAATGAGATTAGTGCCATATGAGATGTGTGCACAAGAGATTATAGGAGGACTGAGCAGGCACCATACCTCGTCTTTACGATGTCAAAAACTAAACTGTGAGGAAGTGGGTCCTACGGTCTGAATGATATTGTGGTTCTCTACCCAGGAGAGAATAGGATCAAAAAGAGAAATAGAGAAAGTTGAGCCTTACACTACACTTATTATTAATGATTTGCAAAACTATACCCTGACAGATCATGTTCTTTTTCTTAAGCAAGATCTTAGCAGTTGCCCTGGAAACAGAACTCTGATACCCACAACTTCTGGGAGATACTAAATTTGTTAGCTTATACAGCCCATTTGTTCTACTGCGTATTTCCATCAATGCTCCATGTGGGAACCAGTGCTTGACATCTTTGTGAACCAAAAATGACTGCACGCACACATCTCTTGTTAAGATAGCATAGACCATCTGGTGGTCTGATAAGGTGAGGGCCCCTTTTCCTTACAGAGAGCCTATTTTCCCTTAAAATCAGTGATTATTGAGAGTCTTTTCTTGTTTAATCCAGATACTCTGCATCTGAAACCTTCAGTGGGCACAGAGGTTTCTGCAAGGGAAGAATAAGCAGTCCGATTAGTGAGGAAGATCTGGTACAAAATACCCTGGCAGACGTACTACTACTTCTGGAGTACTAGGAGTCAATAACTAGGTGCCTACAAAACACCTCGTCATTTTAACTACATATTTGTCTTGTTCTCAAGGAAGAAGAAGACATACTGTGAGCCAGAAAGACCAAAAATAAAAATGTGATTATGGTCATGGGAAAAGTCAGTGAAGATTGTGGGAAAGGAGATAGGACAGATGGAAGAAGAGTGGGAAAAGGCTTCTCTCTAGAAGGAATTGTCATTTGCAAATATTTATCTAATATCTTGTATTCACTATGAGGAATATGCAAGTCCTGCATTTAAGAAGCTTACATTCAAACTGGGGAGACAGCTCTATATACCAAAGCCTGTCAATATAAGGCAGAATGGGACAAATGGACTCCTGAAGAGAAGCAAAGATTTTCTCCTTAGAGATGCTTATCTCTGAAACAAATGCTGGAAAGAATGTCAGGGGAAACTAAAAGTGGACTGATTACCTGTTTTAAAAATTATCTGGGAATTCTAGGAAAATAGGTTCTAACCATTATTGGTGGAAACATGCAGTCACCAAGGGGGTCCCAAATTAAGGGAGGCTTCAGTGTTAGACATCTTTCATAGGTTTCTTGGGATTCGTTAAATACAAATTTCAAAAGTAGATTTTAATGACATTCAAAAAATAAAAAAGTATAGCTCACTGATGTGTCCTATCGCCAACAAGCAGAGAGTCCAGGGAAGTTGCTGCAGTCTTTCTACCCAAGGGAAGTCTCTTGCTCATTAAAGGTGACTCTAGCCCAGGGCTCAAGGGGAACAAATCCATTCGAGCAAATCTGATGGAAAGACTGTGACCCCATTATCCTGAAAAGTCATGAAGTAAACAGACAAGAACTTTTGGCCAGTGCTTTTAAACCGCATACACGGAAGGGCTCCACTCCTCCAAGAAGGGAGCCACGGAGCTGCTCCGTGTGCAAGATCTCTAACAACTGGAACTTTCCTTCGGAAAGCATCTTTGACGTCATCCACGCCTGCTTTATTGATATGTATATCTTTAAATAATAAATAAGAGAAACCCTCCTTTGTCCCAAATGAGGCAAAAATAAATTAGAATTGGCTGTGGCTATGGACCACCATTTCTGACACAAGGCTGATAAATAAAAGTGGACAGAGCACAACCGCACCATCCCACTTTGCTGAAACCGTTACCAGGGTGCCTCTGTAGAGGCTGGGCTGTGGACTGCTGGGAAAACCTTAAAAGTGTTTGCTCTACTGAGTAACCTACCTTTAGATTGACAGCAGAAAGAGGTAGAGTAATATTTAAATATTGATTGACCTTGCTTTTCGTGAGGATAAAGGGGTGAGGGGATCCCTGAAACCAGTTTCTATCTCTCAGTGTCTTGCAGTTTTCATCTTGCTAAAGAATCAAACTGTGTTGTAACTCAGAGGAAAAGCATCGCTCATTTTAGTTGATCTGCTGTACTGCTTCTGCTTATTCACAGTGAAAAACACGATATTTTTAACAAAATATGAAATGCAGAAGTGAAAACTTCTAAAGCAAACAATTTAAAATAAGGTGGAGTACTCATTTAAAATGATTTTAATTTTATGAATGTTATGTTCCAAATCAAAAAAGAATATTGCACAATGCTTTTATATCACAATTGTTTTTCTCACTATCTTGTGAGATTGTGATGAACAAAGTTGATTTTGGAAATAACATAGAGAACGTCTTAACTAGTTAATAAATCAATAACTTGTGACAAACTGAAAGCGGATATTACATTCATATAAAAGACAAGTGTGTATTTATAAATTCATTTGGCTGTAGTGAAAAATAAACTCATGTACTTGATAAAACTTAAAGGAGAAAATTGAGAATGCTGTGAAAATAGAATGTAACTCCAAAATTTTTCAATGTTCTCTTGTGCTTTTGAGAATCTGCAAGACTTCCAAGAATATCTGCTCATATCATAAGCCTATTATTTTGGAGAAGCTAACATCTGATATTTTAAAAACAAAATCTAGATACAACAAATACAAATCTCTTCACTGTTAAAACAACAAAATCTGTGAATGGTAAGTGAAAGTTACCCAAATAACCTAAACAAAAAAAACCTCCCAGAAAATAAATGTATCATGTCATGGCACTTTTAAATATTTCTATTCACATATATGAACCTGTAGCATTTACCCTATATAACAAACATGGTTGTCATCATATAGTTATAGAATAAATGCTGAAAGTTTAAGAAAACAAAATATTTGTGGTCACTAAGCAAAGTTAATTCGAACAAAACTCTCCCAATTTTATGAATTTGTTACAACAATTTTTATTGTTTTTCCTCTTTGCCTTCTAATTAGTATTTTAGCAGAGGCATAGCACTGGAGGGCCAGAAGGAGATAAAAGCCTCAGGTGCCAGTTGTTCTTGTTGTTGTTGTTGTTTTTTAAACTTCTATTTTGCATTTTTGTATTTTCAGAATTATTGCTCATCAAATTCATGAACACATCCTACTTTTGCTCTATTTTTTATTCATTTCAAGGAAAATTCATCCATAACATAAAGAGAAAGGACATGAATACAGTACATTGTCCAATACACCATTTACTCTTGCTCTGCCGGTGGTTCTTAGAAGCTGTGAATTATTTCAATAGCGTTGGTGTCTCTGTTAATGCCTCAACCAGATATTCCACACCATGATTTTTTTATGGTGGTCCTAAACTACAGTTCTTCACATTTTGAGAACATTCCAGGCTTCTAATATCTGGAATATTTACTCTACCCACTATTTTCATCAACCCCTAATATTTTATAAAATAATTGAAAAAAATCTCTGTAGAAGATACCCTCAAAAAATACCTATCCAAAAGAAAAGGGTAAAGTAATGGATTAGTTTAATCGTTGCACCTTAAACTGGAAACACTTTCCAGTTTTACTTCAGAAATGATTTTACTTCAGAAAACATCATTTTTCCATTCAAAACTGATTCTCACTTATATTGATGATTGGAGATTTACTTACAATAAAAGATATATAAATTATGTGAGCCTAAGATGGTGCCAGGTTTACATGTGAGAGCAACTTTTTCTATTGGATGTAGATACTGGGATATAACTATTTATAATCTTGTTTGCTTATTCATTAGATAATGACATAACTATTTGGTTTTTTATATTTTCTGTTAATTTTTAATCTACTTTAAAACAACTTTTAATTAATATTTTATTAATTTTACTCATCTGTCACTCTGATTCCATTTGAGTTGAAACAGAGGACTTAATCATAGCATGGGCAGAAAAAAGCTCAGCATCCATCTAAATGATTGCACCATCATCCTCACTCTGCAATGCAAGTACCAAATTTCATTATAAATTCAAGAGAGATAAAAACTTAAGACCCAAATATATATATAAATTACTTCTAATATTTTAAATTAAAGTCAAGAAGTATTTAAAGTTTTATCTTTTAGTCTTTTTACTACTCATGTAATAAATTTCCCACAAGTGGAAAAAAGCTATTTGCTTCAAATGCTAACCTGTGATATATCAGAATATTTTTGCTATCAGAATTATAAACATTGGCAAACAGGGAACCTCAACTGTGAGTGAAAAAATATGATAATACCAAATAAAATTTTTCTAATTGAAAATGCCATTATAGTTCAGAAACATTTGCAGAAAATAAAACCCATAACAACAATATTTTCAATTTCACACATACACACTCTGGTTCTCTTAATCTGTAATCAAAAGCCCTGCAGGTTACATGATGCATTCACAATCATTCGAGCTAGGACGAGCCTACCATAGTATTTCTCTTACAAAAATCAAAACTAATTTTACATAAAATGTAGTTATTCAATTTATAATACCTACTGAATATGATTTGCTAATTCCACAATACCTTAAAGGTTTACTAAGTTAACATAGAGAAAGAGATCCAACATTAATTTTTCTGTTCCAGAGACTCAGAGAGGACTCTCCTCTGTGGGCTTATAAACCTGAGTACAGCCTGTGGACTGAAGAAATGGGCCAACAGTATTATCTGTGTCGTTTTTAGTTATCCTTTCACACTCAGAAACATTCTTTAATCTCAGTAAAGTTACATACTTTCTTTAATCTCAGTAAAGTTACAGGATATATGATTTCTGCTTTCAGAAATTGATGTCAAATCTTCATTTATCTTTAAAGTTACCTTTTAAAGACCTAATTGAAAACATGTCCACATTAACAGTCTTTAAAAAAACATATTATTAAGGTTTCAAGTAGACTTTAGATACACATTTTCACATAAAATTAAATTCAACAGCAGCTCTGACATTGAGATTTGAGTAATACATGTGTTTTTTACCTTTAAAGAATATATTCTCCAATCTATATGTGGTTCTGAAAATCTGTCCAAATTCTTTCTATCAAGAAGAAAAAATTATCTATCTTGGGATTTCTCTTACATTTAAAAAAAAAGATGCTGATACTATCTAGATCAGTTTTTATTTTTAGGCTTTCATTTAGAAAGATTGTGAAATATATCTTGACATCCTTATTGTGAATCCTGTACATATATGTAAATAATGCAAACAGAAACATAATTGAACTGTCAGTTGGAGCTGTTTCTATCATTCTTACAGGTAGAATTTATACATCTTCTTTCATTAATTTGTTCCATATGAAAATCAGTTCATCCAGGGTTGTTTGTTTGTTTGTTTGGCACAGAAGACTGGAAAGAGCAACTTTAAAAACTGGCTTTAAGTATTTAAAATTAAACTTTAAATGAGAGCATTATTTTTTAGTATTGAACGATGATCAGAACCATAGCATTGTGCAAACAATAATAAAATCTCTTCCAGAATCTCCTGCTTCTGTTTTACCTCTTGAATTTACCCCGAGAAATTACATAGAGAATGTTGTACTTTTTCTTCTTCAGAAATAACAAGTCGATAAAAGAAAAAAATAAGAGGTTACTGCTTCGAATGCACCAATATCAATATTTCAAAGAACTGACAGTGTATTCTACAGATATATGTGCCATAGACTATGAAAAAGGAAACACTTTAGGAAAAAAATCTTATTACAAAGTGTATTATAAAAATAAATTACATAGCATGTGCCCATGGACCTGAAAGCTTTGCAAAAGGAAGAGAAATTTATTTTGACACAAAGATTGAATTGCTCTTGCTACCTATTTTCATATTACCAGAAACTCCATTTTTAGCTTTTACATTATATCCTTAAGAAAAAAGATTCACTGGAAGTAGAAAATTATTTCCAGTAGTGATCAGTAGCATAGAGAACCTTAGTGATGATGGAGGGCTGTAGAAATACTATCCATTCAACAGGGATTCAGAGGAAGTACACACACCCAGTATGTGCTTGGTTTACCATTTCATCTGGAGTTCATACGTAACTGATGAATGATGATGCTTTCTATAAAGAGAAGAAAGATATAGCATTTTCAATTAAATGGAAACTCAAATGAGTAGTTATGTGAGGATCAATACCACATCATTTCATTAAAAGACCATAGATGTTAAACAACAAAAGAAACAAAAACAGGTACATGAGCCCAATAGCTTCTCCTGCAGTTCTCTATTATTCTTGGGTAACTTCTTTATATTGGCATGTATGTTTTATCTCCAAGATTCTTAAAGCTTTTTAGAAACCATGTTTAATATTCTAACCATAGTAGACCTATCTTGCTCAAGGAAAGAACTGAACACAAAACAGTAATTACTATAGACAAGCCCTGTAGTGGGAAACCAGACTATTTCCTAGAAGTAACTCCCTCAGCCATACTCCTTTTCTTCTGATTAACATACTGTTAATTTTTTTTAATGTGTGTGAATTTCAGTTTTAACATGGAAATATTCATTATCTATTCTTAAGAAGTCAAGAAACACAGATGACTCCCTTTTGTCTCTGCTTTTCTTTGCATAATTCTTATAGGATTTTAAATCTTAATTCATTCTTATGAAAATAAATAGAGATAGTAATTACAATAGTATCAGCCACATTGTGGGTGTGTAATATTTATATTTATTAACTGATTTTACTTTATCTTCATCTTTATGCCTTTATCAACATGTATTGTCATTTTTTTCATTCTCTGAGTCAAGGATTATTTATCGAGGCCCAATTACATGCCCATCGCTGTTCTAGGCATGGAACTACATTGGTGAGTAAAATGAGACAGTCCTGCCATTGCTGAGATTATAAAGAGTAGAGGAAAGAAATAACTAAGCCTTGAATGATTTCTCTACCTGAAAAATATACCCCCTCCCTGTCAACATATGGCAATGTTCTAAGTGTAGAAAATAACATCAGGGTTTATCAATAGCATGAAGAAATTTCCACCTATTATTTTCACTTTAATTTAAAATAGTATTTACATTTTATTTTTACTTATGTAATTAAAATCTAAATAAACATTAATTAAAGTACGTTATGTCATAGACCTATAGGTTCGTGCTAATTATGTGTGGTGGGCGATCATGTCAAAAACAAAATGAGTATTTGTTTTCGTTAACTTTACTCCCTGCTGACCACTAGGTGGAGATATTTTCATTTCTTCTCTCAATCTTTCAAATTGAATTTGGGATAAAACAGGTAAGGAAGCAAAGTAAAATGAAACAAATAAATGTTTTATATACTTAATAATATTTAGCTATGAAGTTTTTGTAAAGCTGTTAAGACATACATACAATTTTTTTCACTAGACCAGAAACACTTAAAATCTTTTTTTTTTTCATGGAAAATTTTTCTGGCTTTATAATTTTTCAATGCCTAAAAATAAATCAAAATCTTCAACCAAAACTAAACACATTAAAATGTCATGTGGTTAAAAGTCATGGTCAAAGATTAAAATGTTATTTCCCACTCAACACTTTAAAAAAAAAATTGTAGTCATTTTTGAAAAGTGAAAAACGTAGATCAAGTCATGGTCAAAGATTAAAATGTTATTTCACACTCAACACTTTAAAAAAAAAAATTGTAGTCATTTTTGAAAAGTGAAAATACGTAGATCTCAAATCTCCCTATTGGAATTGAAGCATCTTCTCCATTTCCTCCCTTAAGAAGTGTAGAAAACATAAATTTAAAAGAGTGAAATCTAGAATTGTTATTATTGTAGATTCAATTCAGAATGCTTGTGCCTTTGTTTCCTCACCACAAAAGGAGGGTAGTAGAGGTCATCTCTAAAGTCCTTTATGGGGCTAATAGTCTGTGTTACTACAATATTGTCCTCTCTCTCCTTGAGTGTGCAAACCTCTAAAATCCTAGAGTTGCCTTCTCTTCATTCTAGCATTTTGTGATCTCCATAATAATAATAGCTTTTCAGAATTTGCATTTGGTGAAAATACATATGGCAAAAGGGATCATTACATAGAAGGAACAATGTCTTGGTTGGACTGTTATATTTCATTATTATATTTAAATTAGCAAACTGATAATCCATGCATGGTGTACATACTAATGATACTAGTCAGATTATGTTATTAAAAAACTGTCTCAAAAGTATTTGACAATGCCAAATTGAATTTATTTAATTCTACTTTAATAATAAAAAATGGTGTTTAGTAGTTATGTTTATAAGCTTTATTTAAAGGACTACAATTAAGCTCAACTATTTTGTTTTATACAAAGAGACATATTTCATCTTGTTTCTAGAGATAGTAAGATAATAGCTGTGATAATGGCTCTATTAATTGAAACTTAGTAATCATATTTATTAAATCTGTTTGCTTATAATCTGTTTTCCCTAAATCCATAAACTAACTCAGGTAAGAATTGCCCAGCCAATACACAAAATTGTGAGGGAAAAAGTTGTTGTTTTAAGCTATTAAATTTTGATGTGACTCATTACTCTGATGCATATGAAGTCTATGGTGGCCAGCAAAAAAAAAAGAAGAAAGAAGAAGAAGAAGGAGAAGGAGTAGGAAGAGGAGGAGGAGGAGGAGGAGGAAGAAGGAAGAAGAAGAAGAAGAAGAAGAAGAAGAAGAAGAAGAAGAAGAAGAAGAAGAAGAAGAAGAAGAAGAAGAAGAAGAAGAAGAAGAAGAAGAAGAAGAAGAAGAAGAAGAAGAAGAAGAAGAAGAAGAAGAAGAAGAAGAAGAAGAAGAAGAAGAAGAAGAAGAAGAAGAAGAAGAAGAAGAAGAAGAAGAAGAAGAAGAAGAAGAAGAAGAAGAAGAAGAAGAAGAAGAAGAAGAAGAAGAAGAAGAAGAAGAAGAAGAAGAAAAGGGCAGAATTCCCAAGACTCTTTTTCTTTTTTATTATTTAGTACAATAAAACAATGTCATAAATTCTACTGAAGTTACAACGTCAGTGAGCAAATCTTATTCCATCTCCTACTCTGTCTTCAACTTTATATCAGACTCAGACCCAATTACAGGTCATTTGGGGCCTCTAAAGTGATGTAAGTAAAATTCTGTGATAATTTTTTTTTTATAGATACCATTTTTCTGACATTAGTAATTTGTAGAGTATGTAACAGGCAGATTGAGACCTAAAGCCACCATAGTTAATTACCTCCTCTATCAGCAAACTCAAAAAAGCAAAACACTTAAATGTGGGCCTTCTAATGTGTAGACATTTAATAGCATAATTTCCTTTTTTCCAATTGGAAAAAGAAAGTATCTCTAAACCTTAATCAACATATATACATGGGGACATTGGATTTTTATATATTTTTGACATTAAAAGTTTACCAAAAGCACTTAATGACATTTTCTTCTATATGTTTCTCTCAAGTGTTATCTTAATATTTTTTCCTGAATGTACTATATACTTGAAACTAATAAAATAAAATTAAAAAATAGACTTACAATGACAAAAAAAGAAACTTAAGGTAACATATTAAATACATTATTTATTATGATATATTGTGAAATGATATGGCTTACGAATGAATTTATGCTTTTATTACACCAGCTATTTGATAACTTCCATGGAAAGGAGGTTTAACATTATCGATTCCTAATTATACTTGATTTCTGAACTCACTATTCATCTTCCTTGAGTGGTTTCCCTAAACTACTGGCCAGCCAGATGACTTGAGATTCACAAGACGAGATTTGGGGGTTAATTTGAGGGAGACTGTCTCCTGAGTGCTAGAGTGGGACAATCTGGCAACAAATTGGAATTCCAATTCCTCCCAGGAGAGCTCCTTGGCTGTGGAGTAGAAAAGATGTACTCTTTGGAAAGTCAATGCCTTCCTTCCAAGCACTACATATGTTTGTGCTCTGCCAAACTCTCTGCAAGGGAACACTTGAGCTCTGAATTTTAAAAATCTACTCTAGTAAATGAGACCAGATCACTTAATAGATAGCCTCTAAATTCACACACCAAAGACAAGACATAGCAAAAGTTCAATTTATAGCAGGACTTCGCACCAGCAAAGGAGGGCTGCATCATCCACAAAAATTGCAGACCAAGTTACAGAAAACATTTCCTCTCAGATTTTGCATCAATTTGGCTGACTTAAGGCCTACTCTCCATGTCCCATGGTTCCCTAATCCTCAGGGACTCTGCCTAGAGAGCAAGGCATCAACTTAGGGCCCTGCTGTTTTTCCTGTCCACCAGCTATCAACCCCCGGCTTTGAACTTGATGCCCACAGGTAATTTATCAACCTGCAAAAATGTCTTACATTCTATATACCTTTTAAAAGTAGGAGTACCTAGATATTGTTTACTTTTAGTTTTCATTTTAATAAACTGCTTCAGCATTCAGTCCTGTTTTTATCACATTCAGAAATTAATCAGAGTTCTGATAAAACATCTGTTTTAAATAGGAAGTCCAATAAACTTCCTCCGTTGTCTTGGACTTGTATTCCTTCTTTTGGATTCAGTTCAGCTAATTAAAAATACTTCCGCTAACCAGTTCTGTCATTTGCTTCAGGAAACTTTTGAACCAGATGTTATAAACTCTCTTGGGGTTTCTCAACCACCTAATAGTTTATTTGCTTCTTTCCAAAACATTTCCCACTCCATCATCATCCCAAATCATCCCCTTACCTCCTCAGGTTGCAAGAGCTACCAATAATCACAGTTATGACTGGTAACTTCTTTTTCAGGCAAGCTAATCCTTCTCTCACATAGATTACTATTTCCCAGATGCAAGCAAATTGGAGCTAGTTCTCTTGCATATAACATTAATTATATATTTAAAAAAAAACTAAATGGAAAAATAGATAAGTATTTAAGTCAAGCATGCTCATGTTGTACTTATTTGAACACAGATGCTAAATGCCTAGGTTAATCTAAATCTATGGCTGTCATAGAATAGCATGGAAAATAACATTATGTGTGAAAATTGAGAAAGACATTGTGCTTTTTAGATAAGGACAACAATATTCATCAAAGTACTGTTATGAGAACTTTGACACATAGTTTCTATGTAGATATCTCGATATCTCAAAATCCTTTGACAATATCAT